TCTTGCTCCTGCCCCCCGGGAAGGGGGGGGGGGGAATCTGTTCTCATCATGTAAAAAGAAACAAGAATATGTACAGACAAATCGACATTCATGTTCAAGCAAATGAAACAGCCAATGTTTTTGTGGAAAATTAATGGGATTTGGGGAGTGTGGGTGTTGCAATATGTATGATTTTGCCTCTCTAAACAGATTCTATTTATTATCATGAGATTGTTTTATGGTTTCTACCAGCACACAGAAGTATGACTATCTCAAAATGCTTCAGAGCAAATGATCTTTGTTTTGTCAGTGACTTACTCCAAAGTGCAAAGACTGGATCTGTAAAGCATTTTAGAATAAAGTAGATGGCACATGTTATTATGAAGTGGTAGTCCAAAATATTCAAATCCCATAATTAAATGAAAAGTGTTTTAACTTTGTATTATTTTTATAATGGCACAACCATGCAAGCATTTTTTTAATATATCTTGTGATTAGCTGAACTTTCTTTTTGAATGATACAGGTTACCTATCAAGTCATTGTTTGTGTTCCGAATTTTAATGTCGATTATTGTGAATAAAATGAAATTCGCCCATTGACGCAAATTTCAATTTATTTTCCGTGTTTGGACATCATTATGTTCAAGAATGGATAATGAATAGTCTGTACATGACTCTGAATGGCATGGTGAGATCCATCACTTAAAATTTGTTTTTTTTGTTTTTTTAATCTCATAATGTTGTTCAATTGACCTTACAAACATGTTCAGGGGATGGGGGAAGCCGAAGTAGTGGAAACTCGATTCCAGAGAATATTCAAACCTGTATCTCCCTATTGTGAAGTAAATGTGTTAACCTGGATCTTCGTACTCTCTGGGCCCTATTTTCATGCCCAGCACAAGTAGAGCAGAAAACAATGTTTCATTGTACGCATGCGTAGAGCCTTCTTTCATTTGGTATTTTCCTTGACTTTGCGCAGGTAGACATGGATGCAAGGGGGCGTTTGTATCAGAAAGTAGCCGACTCCCAGCCAATTGTAGTGGATCTCTTCAGTTGCATTAAAATCAGGGCATCAAACCGTACATAGGCCTTGTGCATTACGAAAGCAGAAATACTGTTGACTTGCTGGGGTATGTGAATGACATTGGTGCACATAAAGGGCATCGATACAGGTAAACTGCAAGATCTACCGTTGCGGATGATGTAGTTGGATGATGTGACGTGCAATTGGAGACCGCCTTGCACCTACGATCCCGTGTGTGGAACCTCTCTCCCTCTTTAATAGTTGTGTTGCGCAGTCTACTTTGTTACCAAAATGTAAGGTGCGTTGGGGATGAGGCAGCTCTGTGTGACGGAATGCACAGTGAGGCGCATCACGGTATACTAGACTTGTGCTGACATGAAAATGATGTTGCACCCGTTTTTATGCTAAGCGCACGGAAGCCTGCTACCAAAATAGGGCCCCATATTACAGTATTTTATTTCATTCTGTGGATTGCTATTATGTGCAGTAAGAGTAATTTTTAGCATTGTCTTGCTTCATTGACAGCATTTCTCAATATTCATATGGAATTTGGCCAAAAAATTACACTTTTTAGTTTTAACGGACTTACATATCTACTGCTCAATAGCAAACATTATGGGTCTTAACCAGCCTACTCACTGTGTTTTCATACGATTGTTTAATTGCTTTTTTGTTGTTGCTGTTTACACTTTTGAAGAGATGTCAAACAATTTGAACATCTGATCACTGAAATAGACACACATAAACAATGCATACCCTGCAGCTTTCACACTGTATTGTCCAATTTAGACTTAAAATCCTGAAACACAGTTGAACCATTTGGAAATTTGCAAGTCATCATGTACCAGAGCAGAAATTCACCGCAATTTAATTACTTTAGTTCTACTTGTTTGAAAGAGTAAATCCAAGGGAATGTGAAACGGATTAATTTGTGCATCCACTTTGAGGCAAATAAAGAACTGCCGTATCATTCAAGTTCATTGGAGACACACGACAACTAATACATTTACTTTAGTGACTATTATAGGTCGTTGGTCCTATATGCTCAACTCAATTGCATTATTGAGCACTTTAAAACCACCACCGCTGAATAGAAAGTGCTGTGCAAGGAGCAAAAACTAATTCATACAATACCCAACAATAAATCAATAAATTAAGAACAGAGACAGTAGAAAGTACGAAAACTAAAAATCAAGTCATATCCTGAGTCAAAAGTCAATGAATAAAAATTAGTTTTCAGACAAGATTTAAAGATGCGTAGCGAAGGGGCTTGTCGAATGTTCAGTGGGAGGCCATTTCAAAGAGAGTGACCAGCAACGGTAAAGGCTCGATCCCTTCTGAGCCTCCACTTAGTTCTTGGTACCTCTAATAATGTTTGGTCTGAGACCTGAGGCACCTGGCAGGTGTGTAGGGGTGGAGGATCTCAGAGCGGTAAGGTGGAGCGAGGCCATTTAAAGATTTGAAAACAAATCATAGGATCTTAAAAAGAACTCGAAAATGTATAGGGAGCCAGTGAAGGGATGCCAGAGTGGGAGTTATGTGCTCTCTCTCACGAGTATCAGTTTGTGTGTTACGTGACGTGTAGTGAAAATATATATTATAATCTTTCCGTATATTTGGAGCAGCATTATCACAGCTCTCAATTAAAGACAAATAACAAAAGGGTAAAAGCAAGAGAAGAAGAAGGTACAGTATATTCTCCTTTTCCCCCGAAGGTGCTTGAAGAGCTCCCCGGAGGTGCCTATTTGATACTTGGTTACACAATAATAGTTATTGTGCTGCTGTTGCTCTTTTGACCAACCTCATCTGTGTGACAAGGCTCGTGATCTTAGTAGTAGTTGAAGTACCCATCCATTTTCCGATCCACTTTATCCCTACAAGGGTCGCTGGGCGTGCTGCAGCCTATCCCAGCTGTCTTCGGGCAGTAGACAGGGGACACCCTGAACCGGTTGCCAGCCAATCACAGGGCACACAGAGACGAACAACCATCCGCGCTCACACTCACACGTAGGGACAATTTTGAGTGTGCAATCAGCCTGCCATGCATGTTTTTGGAATGTGGGAGGAAACCAGAGCACGCAGGCACGGGGAGAACATGCAAACTCTACACAGGAAGGCCGGTGCCGGAAGCGAACCCTGCACCTCTGCACTGTGAGGCAGACGCGCTAACCAGTCGACCACCGGGCCTCCCGTAGTTGAAGTAGTAATAGTAAAAAGCAGCCATCTATCCATTCTCTCTACAACTTACCCAAAGTGGGAAAGATTTCAGGCACATTGACTCAAATCTCTTGACAAGAAAGGAGTCAAATGTGCATGTTGACATCCATGTCATACGTAAAAAAAGAAATCCATAAGATTGTTGCGAGAAAGTAGGAGAAAACATATTTTATCTGTTACAATAGAAAAAGAAATAAAGAATTGATGACAAGACCATAGATCAGTTTTCTGTACCTGCTGTCCTATTCACGGTCATGGGTGAGTGCGGTACAGTAGCGACAACCCATGCTTAGACATGGAGACCATGCACTGAGCATGTCAAGGTGGTGATCAGAGGCAGCAGCAATTGTAGATTGTCATCAACCCTGTTCCTGAAATTGACCCGTGAAAAGCTATTATCTTTTCGTCATGCTCCACTTTTCCCTTTGACTTTCTGCTGACTCCCTTTATGGTTTTTATCACCTGTGACTGAAGTCATACAGGGTTTTCACTACTGTTAGACAAACATTGTGAAATAATCATGTTTCTTCGGGCAGGGGTGTCAAACTCATTTTTGCCTCGGGCTAGGATTATGGACAACTGAATACAGCAGAAAAAGCAATACATTTGTGTTTATCAGGTTTAATCAGTTTGATATAACTATGAATTATTTTCAAATAGAGCAATAATGGTGGACATCATTAGGTAACATGATAACCAATTGGCTGGCAACCAGTTCAGGGTGTCCCCCGCCTACTGCCCGAAGACAGCTGGGATAGGCTCCAGCACCCCCCGTGAACCTTGTGAGGATAAAGTAGATCAGAAAATGGATGGATGGATGGCATGTTGATTATTATGTCTTTGTATCCACGTCTGTGCGCGTACAACCTGCCAATGGAAGGGGGTGGGGGGGTCTACTCGACTCTAAAAACCATATTTAGAGTTTCATTGTACTAAAATATTGAAGCATGGGCTAAAGACTTTCACGAGCGGTTGGGTCCCATTCTGTTAGGTCTAAAAGACCCGACCGACCCGGAGCTTACTTCACACATTCACAGAGCCTCTGCGGTCACCCGACCTGACGATGATAGCCTTTGCCTTGGGGTCGGCATCTTCGGGCAGCCGCCGGAGAGCTCGGACCCGAAGAGTGATAATGACTGAGCGGTGCTTTTTCCTTTTTAATTGTACTTTTGCCTTCCGAGCTGGGCTATTCTTGCTAAATACTCAAAAGTTCCGCTGATGAGTCTCTCTCTCTCTCTCTCTCTCTCTCTCTCTCTCTCTCTCTCTCTCTCTCTCTCTCTCACACCAGATCCATAACACACAAAATTAGTGATCTGGAACCGCAACGAGTGAGAAATCGCTCTGTTCGGGACTCTTGCGTTTTATTAATCACGGAATGTAGGTGACATGCTCAGATTCCTGACACTTCAGTCTAACTGCAACAAGTAAAGTTTCATCGCCAAATATGTCCAAAAATGCCTAGCTTATTGTGTGGCTGGTCACTACTATTATTTTCGATTTAGACACTTATTAATGAACCTGCAGTTTGTTTTTTTTTTGTTCGTAGCTGGTTGCTCTCCGCTTAAATGTCCAGCCAAACTGCTGTGAAAAGTGC